TTACAAGAGATTCTAGATGCAGTCATTACTCTAAGTAGCCATGTTGTCAGGTGTAATTTGGGAGCTTTATGTCTGGGAAAGAAGGGTGCAGTAGATATTGGGACAACTAGCACGTGACAGAACTATTTTGTTCGCCATTTACATCCCAAGTGCCTAGTACAGTATTTACCATAGTAGGCATTCATTAAATAGTTGTTCTATGGATGAATGTCCCTTATTGCTTGTGTCAGAATAGGCGTTGATCTGGATATTTACTGATATACATGATAAATTGTGACCAATTTGTCCTTACTTATATACATCATAAATTGTGACCAATTTGTCCATCCTTGGTGTTTTTTAATTGTTCGTTCTCATCTATGTTCTCCCTTTACAAATAAGGTATCCCTAACAGCCTTCAAACTGATTTACTACCATAAAGAACTTATTTTAACCTTCTTGTTGCTGATGTTCCCCCCCTCCCCTAAATAGAAGCCTATTAAACCTCTCTTTTCATGTGTCTTTGGTCAACACTGCCCTGGCATGTTGAAGGTACTCAGTAAATGTTTTTTTTTTTTTTTTAATTAAAAAAAATTTTTTTTACATTGTTTCTTTCTTTTCTTTTTTTTTTTAGTAAATGTTTTTAGATTGCATAAGTAAATAGGAATAAAACTTGGATGAATGCAAGCCTTTTCTTTCCGTTACTTCCCTTGAAAAATGTATGGCTGTAATACACACAGAAGAAATTCTTAGTCTTAAGTCTGTTTATCTTACAAGATTTTTAGGAATATCATTTGGCATTCAGGTAGAATGTGATTACGAGACAACTATTTGGAATTAATATTAACTAAGTACTAATTCACTTAAGTTATGAGGCATTAGATGCTAACATAGTTCAGCAAAACGAGGGGGCATTCTTAAGCCATTCAACTCAACCTGGGGTATCCATTTAGCTTATCAGTGTGCTTAACTTTCAAGGGAAAATGCCATTTCTTTTCCATTGTTTCATGCGGGAAAATTTCTTTCAGGCTTAAAGATAAATGAGTCACTATTTTCTCAGATATCATAAACAAAGTAATACTGTTTTAAAAATTGATGAAAATTTTTTAGCTTTATTGAGTTATAATTGACAGACTTGTAAAATATTTCAAGTGTACATCATGATGATTTGATATGTGTATACATTGTGAAAAGATTCCCCCTTCTAGTTAATTCACACAACCATCACCACACAGTTACGTATTTATATGTATATATTTATATTTTTTGGTGAGAATATTTTAGTTGTACTCTCTTAGCAAATTTCAATTATACAATACAGTGTTATCAACTATAGTCACCATGTCATACATTAGATCCTCAGATCTTGTTTATTTAATAGCTGAAAGTTTGTGCCCTTTTACTCCACCCCATAGCCCTTGGCAACCACTTTTCTACTCGTTTCTATGCGTTAGACTTTTTTTTAAGACTCCGCATGTAAGTGGTAACGTGCAATACTCGTCGTTCTCTGTCTAGCTTATTTCACTTAGTATAATGCCCTCAAGGTCCATCCATATTGCTGCAAACAGGATTTCCTTCTTTTCATGATTGAATAATAGTCCATTATATATGTATATACTTGTACTATGTCTTCTTTATTCATTCAGTCGTCGATGGATACTTAGTTTCTATACCTTGGCAACTGTAAGTAATGTTGCAGTGAACGAGGGAGTGCAGATATTTGTTTGATATCCTGTTTTCATTTCCTTTCCATACTTACCCAGAGTGGGATTGCTGGATCACATGTTAGATCTATTTATGAATTTTTTTGTGGAACCTCCATACTGTTTTCCATAGTGGCTGCACCAGTTTACATTCTCTCCAACAGTGTACGAGGGGTCCCTTTTCTCCACATCCTCTGCCTCTGAACTGAAGTCAGACCAAGATCACATGTTGTGCTAGTACTTTGTACGGCATCTTGGATGAGTAATTGAACTTCTCTGTGCCTCAGGTTTCTCATCTGTACAGTGGAGGATAATACTTTTTAGAGTTGAGTTGTGGAGTTGAGTGAGCAAGGCATTTAGTACTTAGACTAATGCTTAGTACATAACAAACACTTAATAAATGTCATTGTCACCTCTGTCATTGTTCTGAACATATTTGTCAAAATGATTTGAAACTTGACTTCAGGAAATATTTAGGAGAGAATGTCACCTGACTCCTTGGTTTCTAGCATACAAGCTGTGTGACACCAAGTGAAATAAAGGACAGATTTGGTGGAGGAAGAGAAGGAGAATGCTGAGCTTAGTTTTGAACATGTTGAATTTGAAGTGTTGGTGGGGTGCTAATCTTGAAATATATGAATTTGAAGAAGTGGGCAGAGTTATTAGCACATGGGTGGTAGTTAAGACTATGAGAGGTGAATGAGATAAAGGATCTACCTTGGGCCTAGGTTAGAAACCCCGGGACACTAACCTTTAAAGAACAGGTGGAGGCCATTAAGACCATCTGAGAGTCAGTAGGAGAACAGGAGAGAGCACTGCCATCAAAAAGAGAGCGTGATCAGTGTTGTCCAGTACAACAGAGATTATAGCCGGCCCCTGGACAACACAGGAGTTAAGAGAGCCAATCCCAACAAAGTTGAAAATCTACATGTAACTTTTTTTTTTAATTAAAAATTTTTTTTTTTATTGAGGAACATTGTGTTTTTCCAGGACCCATCAGCTTCAAGTCAAGTAGTTTCAATCTGTTGGATTGTCGGAAAAGTCATGACGCATTTTTGCAACAAAAAACATAGAAAAAATATGTCATAACTTTTCCGACAACCCAATAGTTGTGGAGGACGCATCTCAGTGGCCCATGCTGGGATCAAACCAGCAACCTTGGTGTTATGAGCACTGTGCTCTAACCAACTGAGTTAACCGGCCTCCCCTACATGTAACTGTCGACCCCCCCCCCCCAGAACTTGACTAGTAGCCTACTGTTGACCAGAAGCCTTATTGTTAAGATAAACAGTCATTTAACGCATATTTTGTATGTTATATGTATTATATATTGTATTCTTACAACACAGTAGCTAAAGAAAATGTTATTAAGAAAATTATAAGGAAGAGAAAGTACATTTATGGTATTTATTGAAAACAAACCCATGTATAAGTGGACCCACACAATTCAAACCCATATTGTTCAAGGGTCCACTGTACAGTAGTCCGAGAACTGAGAAGTATAAATGGTTTGCTAATTAATGAGCCTTTTGTAACCCTTTGGTTTTAGTAGAGGAGTGGAGGCAGAAGCCAGACAGTGAATTTAGGGATGGAAATAGGGCAGGAAGAGAAGACCTTTTGATGAGACAGATCTTGGAAACTAGTGGAAGATACAGAGTAAATGGAAGATTTGGGAGAAGGATGGGATGTTGCAGGCTGAGCAGAAGGAATTATTAGAAAATAAAAAGGTCGACTGTAAGGAGAGTGTAGAAAAGATGAGATCAAGGGTGTAAGTTGATGAGACTGACCTTGAACAGGAAGAGGGCGAAAACATCTCAGACTGGACGAAGGCAGGATGTGGATATATGTAAGTAAGCCTTTAAGGTAGAGGAAATCACTCTTACTGACTACATTTTCCCTAAAGAAATGAAAGGGAAATTTGTCTGCTGAAAGGGGTCAAGGGTTGAATAGGTATTGTGAGGACAAGGTGAAAGCTTAGAATAGTAACTGAGCGGAATAGGATAGGAGGGCTGAAACATTTGTTCGCCAGTTGAGGGGTTTTTCATTTGCATAGTATTTAAGTATACCACTAGTAGTGTGGATACCACAAATGTGTTACGTGAAAAGGGAAAGGCTATTGTTCCATTTAACACAGTATATATTTATTTAGCATCTAGTATATACAAAACATGGCAACATAACTTCCTGGGAGGTTCAGATGAATACTGGTTGCCTCATTCAAGAGTAGTATGAACTGATAGCTCATGTCATGTGATTTATTAAAAACATAAATATTTATAGTAACCTAAAAATGGTAAGTGACACATGAGCTTTGTTAACATACAGTGAGGGTTTGAAAGAAGTAGAGATTCCATCAAATAGGCGGTGAAATAAGTATGGGATTTCCTCTGATGGGGGAAGAAAGCTTTATGGAAGAGGCCAAAAAAATGTGAATTTTCTGATGAAATAGTAAAGAAACTAGCTACGAGTTTTTAATTTATTACAGTAGTCATATATTCTATAATACAATGACCAGAAGAGGGGAATTAAAGAGATTAACAAAATATAGTGAATTCTGCGGGCCGGCCGAGTGGCTCAGTTGGTTAAGAGCATGAGCTCTGAGCAACAGGGTCACTAGTTTGATTCCCACATGGGCTAGTGAGCTGTGCCCGAGCTGAGCTGCCGCTGAGCTGCCAACAGGTGGCAGGATGACTCAGCTGGTGAGAGCACATGCTCCTAACAACAAGGTTACTGGTTCGACTCCTGCATGGGATGGTGGGCTATGCTCACCAGCAAATAAGATTGAACACAGCACCTTGAGCTGAGCGGCCAGGAGCTCCTGATGGGCGGCAGGATGGTGACTGGACTTGGGGCTGAGCTAGCTGCACCCTCTACAGCTAAGATTGAAGGACAACAACTTACCTGTTCCCCTTCCCCAATTCCCCAACACTGTTCCCCTTCCCCAGTTCCCCAATAAAATCTTTAAAAACAAAACAAAACAGTGAATTCTATTCTATCCAAAAGATGTTACAAATTTGATTATATTTTTATGTAGGAATATATAATTCAGTAATTCTTTCCACAAATATTTAATGAACATCTCTGTGCTAGGTGCTAAGCGTACAGAGGAGACTAAGATACAGTTTCTGTCTTCAGGGAGTGCACACACTAGTAGAAGAGACAGAAGTGAAGAGAGATACTTCAGTTCTATGCAATAAATGATGTAAAAGTGGTATATATGAGTAAAGAAACTTGGGGTTACAGTGGAAGGAAGCAAGAGTAAATGATTATGTTCCTATGACAGCGTTTGTTTTTTTCTTTCCTTTTTCTTTTCTTTAGTTGGAGAACATCAGTTGACAGGCCATAAAGTTGCAGTTAAAATCTTAAATAGACAGAAGATTCGCAGTTTAGATGTTGTTGGAAAAATAAAACGGGAAATTCAAAATCTAAAACTCTTTCGTCATCCTCATATTATCAAACTGTAAGTATTTTTGTACCTGGTAATACCAAGGAGAAACTGTTTTGAAATATCTACAAATTTACAAATAATTGTTTATCTTTAGTTAACCTTTTATAAAAATACTTTTTTTGTATTTATATTGAACAAGTGTTAATTCATTTAATCTTCATCAATCCTTTTCATACTTTTGATTTAGAATTAAAAGTTACTGTTTTAAAATTGGTACTGTTTTTTTTTTTAAGTGATGAATGCAGCCTTAGACGTTGACTCTTATTTATAGTATTCACTTTAAAGTTCATTTAGGCCTTTGATAGTCCTAGTTTCATTTTGTAATTTTTTTCTAGTCAGTTTTCATCAACATATCAGGGCATTTTCTTTTTGGAAAAGGTAGACAGTAATTGTTAAAGATTATGTTACTTGTAAAATTCCAATTATTACTTTACTGATAGTAAAGCTCTTAGGAAGGCAAGTGAACTTGGGGGGAGATAAGACAAGTTATAAACTTTAAAGATAACTAAATATTAGAGATTAATAATAAGCTAATTAATTAAATGGAAAGATAACTAATTTAAAATCAACTAGACGTATAGAAAATTTAGATATTGATATAGAACAATATTCCTTTAAATCATTTGCTGTTGCAGTTTAATATTTATTGAGAAAATGTAATATGCCAAACACTGAAAATTATTGTTGTTGCTTTATCTTAAAGCTTGGATAGAGTTTTATAAAATAAGTATTATTCTTACTTATTGAGTACCTGATAATGGTTAGAAACTATATTGAATATATATATATATATATATATATATATATATATATATACACACACACACACACACACATATATATAATATATATATATAATATATATATATAATTTCTCTTCATCCTAAGCCTATAAGGTAGGTATTATTATTCTCATTTTATAGGTAAGGAAATTGCACATCTAAAGAGTATCAGCAACTTGTCCAAGGTCAAATATACAGTAAGTTGCTGAGCTGGTAATTGAGTTCATACCTGATGCCAACTGCCATGCTGTTAATATCTACTTCAGTAGTGCAGTCTTTCTCAAAACTGAGAGTTCTATAAATCCACTTTAAAGGAAATGTAAATTTGTGGATCCCTTGTTTGCCTTAATTATTTTTAATATACAGTCAAGCACTGCATGACGACGTTTCGGTCAACGCTGGACCGCATGTACAATGTTGGTTCCATAAGATTATAAATGGAGTCAGATTTCTTATAAGAAATGGAAGGATATGTGGTTCAGGAATATTTCTTTTCTCTGACAGGAGCAGTGTCTGTGGGGCTTGGCAGCAGATTCCCAACTAGTCACAGCGCCTCACTTTTGGGTGCACAGATGACAGCCCAGTCAGTCAGCCACTGACCTGTCTCAGCACAGGGGAGCCTGACCCCTCAGTGCTACATGTTCAGAGGGCACCAAATTCTCTGTTGAGGACCTCAGATCCTGTACAAGGACACAGGTCCACAGGAGCCACCTTAACAAGTATGAAGTCCCGTTGCCACTTTAGTAAAAGCTTTCAGTGTTACTGTGGAGCCAACCTCTCCCCGTACTTTGGGACTGTGTTCAGGTTGTACTGATGTAAATAGATAAGTTTTACTTCTTCCATCAGTTCAGTGCCAGAGAACGCCCTTTATGCCAGGTAGGGTCAGTGGAACCAAAAGCAAATTTCCAAAGTCAAAACGCTGAGTCTTCAGTTTTGCACCCTTTCCATGTTAAACACCTCCCCTCCCCTTCTTTTTAAGTGAATACCACAAAGTTCCTTAATCTGCACACTGCTCCAACATGCAATAACCAAAACCACATTGCCATGACAATCCCCTATGTTCCTTTATCTCTTCATCTTGATTTCTTATCCCTGCTGATCCTCAGGCCCCTTTCATTCCCTCCTGACAGTCACTATGGTGGTCACCTGTGCCTTACCCCATCAGTTTCTCCCCAGTATTTCCAAGCAATCCATTCCACATGCTAGCTCACTGGAGCAGCACTGACAGCTTCGATGTTCTACTTCTGACCCTGTCGGAAGGAAGCAGGGGGAGGGCTTGTGGGACAGTGTGTATAAAGTCTCCAGCAGTGGACGGTCATGTTCTCGGCCTTCACACTCACTCGCCACTCACTCACTGGCTCAGCCAGAGAAACTTCCAGTCTTGCAAGCTCCATTCATCATAAATGCCTTATACAGGTGTGCTATTTAAAAAAATCTTTTATACCAAGTTTACTGTATCTTTTCTATGTTCACACACACACAAATACTTGTGTTATAATTGCCTACAGTATTCAATGCAGTAACATGGTATACAGGTTTTTAGCCTAGGAGCAATAGGCTGTAACCATACAGCCTAGGTGTGTAGGAGGCTGTACCATCTAGGTTTGTGTAGTGCCTCTATGATATTCACACAATGATGACGTCGCCTCATGACACATTTCTCAGCATGTATTCCTCTCATTAAACTACACACGACTATGCTGTTACTTAAACATACAGAAACAAAGAACTAAACATAAGCTCCATAGCTTGGACACAGTTATGAAATCAAAATAAATTGACAATTTAGATACAAAGAAGACAATGAAATCAATGAAATTCAAAGTATTATCTATAGTGTGTGGTGACCAAAAATGGTGTTTTGCAAAAATCAAATCACTGTTAGTGAGATTAATATTAGACTAGTAGAAGGAGGACCAATACGATATTCGTATTTTGATTCAAATAATATCATTGCGGAGAAAGCCTGTAAGTATACTCTAAGAAGTATATAAGTATGTTCTAAAAAAAGTGTTAATATCTTTGAGGCTTTGTTTGCTAGTTCATTATAATCAGAAATTATATTTAGCCTAAGCTTCGTTAGTGCGCAATCTTTGGATGTCAGTGTTAATGGGGAACAGTTTGATAATCCTGCAGAGACACACTGTTTATACCTGATGACAAGGCTAGCATAGTAGCTGTGGTCGGTGAATAGTACCCCCCCACCAAGATGTCCTAATCCCCAGAACCTGTGAGTATGTTACATTACTTGGCAAAGGAGAATTAAGTGTATAGATGGATTTAAGGTTGCCAATCAGGTGATCTTAAAATAGATTTCCCTGGGTTATCTGGGTGGACCCAGTGTGATCACAATGTCCTTAAAAGTGGAAGAGGGAGTCAAATTAGTCAGGGAAAGAGATTTTAGGGTGGAGCCAAAGTGAGAGTGATGAGATGTGAGAAGGATCTAGCTGGCTGTTGCTGGCTTTGAAGATGGAGCAAGGGGACTGTGAGCCAAGGAATGCAGGCAGTCTCCAAAAGTTGGAAAATACAAAGAAGTGGATTTCCCCCTTGAGCCTCCAGAAGGCAGTGCAGCCCTGCTGACACCTTGATTTTAGCCCAGTGAGACACGTGCCAGACTTCTAACCTGTAAAAAATATAAGAAAATGCATGTTTGTTGTGTTAAACTGCTAAGTTTCCAGTATGGCAGCAATAAGAAACTAATACTGAGCATTCTTGAAATCCTTAAATGAATGGCTGATCTAGTTATTGCTGGGATTTGGAACATGCATTTAGCTCTCACTAGCTACGTTTATTGCTAGTGAACTATTGCAAATCGGTGTGTTGAGTGATGGGGCCCCATTCAGCGCATCTTACCAACAACGTGCATATGCCTCTGACTGTTTAGAGAAGGCTTTTCTTGGGTTTGGTGTGCCATTGGGTAACCTGTGATGGCTCTGTTCTCAACCGCTACCATGAGAACTTCATCCTAACAGTGAGCTGCAGTGTCATTTGATCTTCACTTGAAGTTCACTTGATTATGAACATAAACAAGAAATGAGGGCCCTGAAGTTGCACGGCAGTATTTTATGATAAGGTTATCTAGGACCTATATTCTAGATGACTCAGAATATGTATATACAGGATTTTTAAGATTATTGTAAGAATTAAAATACCACCTATGAGCTCAGTGACTCACCTCTCCTATTCTTTGTTTCCTTAACTTTAAAATGGCTATACCTCATGGTGTTATTTCAGGATTAAATGTGTTCGCACTGCTATGATGCCTAGTGTTTGATGTGCATTGACCCATTGGTCACCAAGGAGCTAAAGTCAGTCCTCTTTCATGATTCCAAACCGCTTTCAGTTAACCGAAATAGTTCGTATCTGATTCCGACTCCCATGTTAGCGATGACTTTATTCTAGTTATTGAGTGACTTCTAAGCTAAATCTCTTTGCTCTTCCTTGCTGAGTGGCCACTTCCTAAAAGAGGAGAAAGCTGGGAAGCCAAACTAAAAGCATCACATACCAAAGTGAGACTGGAGAAGGGAGAGATCTCTATGTGTTTGCCTTGTTTCTTGACCTCTTCCCTTAGAAGGACAACGCTGAATGACCCCAAGGAAATCTTGCCTATTTAGGGTATGAGCCCGAGTCCCTGTGCTGTTCTTATAAACACAAATCAGGTTTTGTGAGTGAGCAGTTGCAATTGTCATGAGGATTTATATTTGATGTGATATCTACCAGTGTTTTCTTGCCTCAATTTCTATAATTATTTATAATTGTTTAATTTTAGTTTGATTATTTCATTCTGGTTTAGAATTTTAAAAATGATTGGCTATTTTGTTCTGTTGAAGGAGTTCTATAGAACGTTCTTAGGGTTGGTCAGAAAGTAATTGGCATAGATGAAGTTGATGTGTAAAGCTTCTGGCTTCCAGCTTTGAGCTTAATTCACTCAGCTACATCGCCTCTTTAATTGTAGATCTGAATTAAAAAAAAAAGCACTCATGTATTCTTGCTACAGAGCAAGCTGACTGACATAGCTTCTATTAGTGTTAGTGATTTAAACAGCGAGAGCGACCTGAGACTTTTAGTGGTTTTGTTTGTTATGTGCAGTCTTGGGCGAGCTGCCAAGAATAGTTTCCTTGTTACAGAATGGGCCTCTCGAGTTAGCAAGAAAGTTCGTAAACTAGATACCAAGAATGAAGGATATTTATTGCACGATTTCTCTATTAACTCGAATTGAAGAAAGAAAAA